CGCGGAATCTTTGTATTCAAGGGGATGACCATAAAGTGACAAAGAGGGACGAAGAACAACCCGTTTCCGCGTAAAAGTCATGGCACAAGTCTTAGAAGTAGAGAACTTGAAGCCATGACCTGTGGCCCAAGACGACACGGCATCAATTGCAAGTTGAAGCCGGCGTTGAAGGAGAGGCGAATCATCACCCTGACAACAAAGGGTAAGATCATCGACATAGAGAGCGGAGAAGACACCAGAAGGAAGAGAGGAAAGAAGACCATTGAGGGCAACAAGAAAAAGAGTAGTGCTCAGAACACTACCCTGGGGCACACCTTCGTATTGCTGAAAAGAGGGAGAGAGAGCGGTACCAAGGCGCACCCGAAAGGAACGACGAGAGAGGAAGCTGCGGAGAAAGAGAGGGAGATGACCACGAAGGCCAAAAGAATGAAGTTGAGATAGGATATGATAACGCCAAGTGGTGTCGTAAGCCTTTTCTAGGTCAAAAAGGACGGCAACAACGGAGGTCTTCGCAGCAAAAGCAGTACGAATATAGACCTCCAAGTTCACCAGGACATCTGTCGTGCTGCGGCACTTGCGGAAACCAAATTGAGAAGGGGAGAGGAGGTGATGGTGTTCCAGGAACCACATCAGACGAACGTTAACCATACGTTCAAAGAGTTTGCAGACACAACTTGTGAGAGCAATAGGGCGAAAGTCCTTAGGGGAAGTACCCAGAGACCCCGGTTTGCGAACAGGGAGGACAACGGCATCGAGCCAGTCCTCAGGGACTGACGACGACTCCCAGATCCGATTATACAGACTCAGTAAATACTGAGACGTGCTCGGAGGGAGATGGCGAAGCATCTCATAATGAATACCATCGGAGCCCGCCGCCGTAGAACCGCAGAGGGCCAGGGCAGAACGAAGTTCAGAGAGAGAGAAGGGATCATTATAGGGAAGCTGAAGATGAGTGCAGAAATCTAAAGGACGAGACTCAAGGACAGGTTTACGAAGAAGGAAAGATTGGGGAAGATGAAGACCAGAGCTAACAGAAGAAAAGTGGGAACCCAGTTCGGAAGCGACCTGCAACGGGTCCGCCACAAGAGTATCATGGAGGTGAAGGACCGGTGAAACATCGGGAACGAACTTACCCGCTATCTTGCGGATACGCTTCCAGATCTGGGCCAGAGGGGTCTCGGACGTAATTGTTGAGACATAAGATGCCCAACATTCACGTTTAGCCGTACGGATGGCCCTACGGGCCACCGCACTCGCTTTCCGAAAGAAAAGAAAAGAATCGGTCGTCTGCCTACGGCGGTGCCTCTTCCAGGCTGCACGCTTACAGCGGACAGCCCGAGCACAGTCCGCATTCCACCAGGGAACGCACTTCCGTGGACCCCGAGAGGAAGAGCGAGGAATAGAGCGGAGGGCAGCGTTGAAGACAGTGTCATGAAAAAGGAGGAGAGCGCGAGAGAGAGGCAGAAGGGAGAGGTCAGGGAGAGCAGCACTGAGGGTAAATAGGGTCCAGTCTGCCTTAGCAAACTGCCACCTAGGGAAAGAGAGGGAAGGGCGAAAAGAGAAAAAGGAAACAAGGATGGGGAAATGATCACTTCCATGGAGGTCATCAAGAACCTGCCACGTGAAATCTAAGTAAAGAGAAGAAGAGCAGAGAGAAAGATCAAGACAAGAAAGGGTGCGAGTCCGAGAGTCCAAATGAGTGGGCTCACCAGAATTCAGAAGAGACAGGGAAGAAGAGAGGAGAAACGGCTCAAGGAGGCGACCCCGGGTATTCGTCAGAACGTCACCCCAAAGAGAATGACGACAATTGAAGTCACCCAGCAGGAGCACAGGCTCCGGCAAGGAGTCCAGGAGGTGTTTCAAATCAGGAAGAGAGAGCGGGACACTCGGGGGGAGATAAATGGAACAAACTGTGTACCATTTCCCCACAAAGATACGAGCAGCAGAACAATGGAGAGGCGAAGGAAAAAGTAAAGGAACAAAGGGAACATCAGCCCGAATCAAGAGAGCAGAAGAATTAGAAGCCCCAGCAATGGCTGGGGGGGGGGGAGAGAAAGGAATAGCCACGAAAACGACCAGGACGAGCACCAAGCATTGGCTCCTGGAGACAGACACAAAGGGGCGAAAACCGCGAAATCAGAAGTTGGAGTTCGAGGAAATTGGCGTAATAACCTCGAACGTTCCATTGAAGAATGGACAACGACGAGAAGAGAAAGGACAAAAACAGAGAACAAGGAAGAAACAAAGGCGAAAGAGCAACAGAGCACGTTAAAGAATATCAGGGTCGGGATCAGGGTCAGCAAAGTCAGGGTTAGGGGGCATGGGTAAACTGAGCAAAGACGGAGGGAAGGAAACGGGAGAACAGATCAGAGGTGGGCGGGCAGGGTCCGGAGGAGGAGGAGGAGGAGGAAGAGGAGGAGACAACGGAGAGGAGCCGTCAAGGACAGCAGCAGGAGGAGGGGGAGTAGAAAGAGGGGAGCGCACCCCAGCAAGAGCAGCAACCGAAAGGGAAGCAGGGGCCAAAGAAACCTCCATAGCAGGAACAGGGGGCGCAAGCACTGAAACGGGAGGGGAAGGAGCAACAGAGCCAGAAGGAGGAGCTGAGGAAGAAAGCGAAGCCTTCTTACCCGCCGGGGAAGAGGAAGGAGAGGAGCCAGGCTTACGCTTCTGACTTAAAGAGACCGGTGTCCCAGCAACTACGTACCGGGCAACGGATTCCAGTGTCTCAACAGGAGAAGCCGAACGAGAGCACACACGACGGCCGTTAGGAGAGCGATGGACATCCGCCCGCACCGACAGGCGGTGGGGAGAGCCGATAGATGGAGGAAGAGGATGGGAAGGAGGATCGGAGGGGGACGAGGAAGAAGACACAGAAGACACGACAGACCGGGTAGAAGGAAGGGGAACCCCAGACAGAGGACCAGGAGGAGGATCCTTCGGGAGAGAACCCAAAGGAACAGAGGAGGGGGCAGTGGGCGCATCAGGGTCCAAGGCCCGGAAACGGTTGTGAGTCTGAGGAAGGCGGGAAGGACGAGGAGAGGAAGAGCGCAACACGCGAGCATAAGAGATATTAGCATAAGGCGGGAGCCGGCGAACCTGGCGCCTCGCCTCAGGAAAAGATAAACGCTCCCGGTGCTTCAGGTTGAGGACGGCTGCCTCAAGCTTGTAATGGACACACGCACGGGAGAAGGTAGGATGGGCCTCACCGCAGTTGAGGCAACGAGCCTGGGGAGAAGTGCACTCCGACTTAGAGTGACCTTCGCCACCACACAAAGGACAGAGAGAGACAGTCCCGGAGCAGCGGAGGGCACCATGCCCAAACCTCCAGCACTTGTTGCAGAGCCGAGGAGAAGGAATGTACTCCTGGACAGAGCACCTGGCACCAGCAAGAATGACAGAGGGTGGAAGGGTCCTACCATCAAAGGTAATCTTCACAACCCGGAGGGGTTGACGGCGACTACCACGAGGGGGACGAGTAAACGTGTCCACCTGGAGAATAGAATGGCCCTGGGCAGCGAGGATATGTCGAATATCGTCGTGGCAGTCGCGCAGGTCCCGAACACCGGTTGCAACATGGGGCGGGAGCAAAATAGTGCCAACACTGGCATTCAACTGAGCGTTCTTCGAGACCCGAACGGGGGTCTCGCCAAGGCAGGATAAGGCAGCCAAGCGGGAAGCAGCATCCTGAGAAGGAGCAGCAACGACACGTGTACCGAGACGAGTGGGGTTGAAAGTAATGGAGGCATCCACGGAATCAATGAGATGTCGATGAAGGGAGAAATCGTCAGGAGGCGCAGAATCAAGAGGGAGGAGATCAAAATATTTGGCCCACGAAGCGGGACCAAACAAGGCTTGATAGGTAGCAGAACTGGAAGGAATCGAGCGAGGGCGGCCGTGACGAGGACGGCGGTGAGAACCCCCAGAGAGAGAGGGGTTAAAAGGCGCAGTAGTTACAACTAGAGAAGGAGCCGCGCCAGGGGACGAGGTAGTCACCACTGGGGGCTTGGGGCTCGACCCAACCACAGAGGAGGGAGGGGAGCCAGGGGAAGGAGTCAGAGAGGCCAAAGGAGGAGCAAGGTCGGGGCCCAATGCAGCGGAGGCTACAGAGCCCGGTCTTCCAATACGGACCGACTCGGGGGCTTGGTCGCCCACCCCACGAGCCTGAGAAGGTAAGCCAGAAGCAGCCGAAACAGGGGTTATCATCTTGACGAAAAGAAGAATTCACTCACGAATGTGCCCCCACACCCACCATGGAGCCACAATTAGAGGCAGGACACCCAACAAGAAGCTATCGCCGATCTTGTCGGGGCCTCCTAGGGGTGCGTCGTGAGTATACGCCCCACAAACGCCACCTTAAGAAACCGACAGTCCGTCGAGATCGGGTTCAGTGACGAAGTGGGGATTGACAATAAAAGGTTCCCCTCGCTCTCGACGTCGGGTACTGCAGTTCTACGGGTGCATGAGTATGCCTCCTCAAGCACCCGGGCGTCAAAATAGAAGAAGTCCATGGAAGAACCAGAACGAGCAAAAGGTCGGCAGGAAACGGCAAGCAGATAGGAGAAGAGGGGGGAGAAAAACGAAACAGAAGGAAAAGGAAAAGGTGCCCAGCAGAATTGGAGAGGACGGCAGCAGGAGCACAAGGCTAGAAAAGGACAGAGGACTGTCCTAAGGAGCATCACACTCCGGCAGCCGCCCACGAAGCCCCCACACGGCGACAACGAGCTGAGCGGGGAGGGGGTTAAATACAACCACCTTTGTCACAACATTTTGCATCATCATTAATAACCTCATCACCACGACAAACATCACTAACATTACCATCATCATCATCACTTTCACCACAAATGTCATCAAACTCATCATCACAAGTATCACCACCGTCACCGCACAAAACAATGAGACACCAACCAGCCTATGACAGACGCTGCTACAAGTACCACACAGACCTTCATGCTGAGAACATATGCTGTAGAACATTCAACTTCAGTGGTTCTGTCAGCATGATCCACCAGTGTATTACAAAGGCCAACGCCCACCTGCTGAGGGTCCACAGGTTGGTGTCAATATCAGTGGTTCTATTAGTATGATACAGGGGGACACAGGTAGAAACTCAGTACACAAATGAGCCACAAGGAAGTTAGAAAGAACTTTTTCAGTGTCAGAATAGTTAACAGACGGAATGCATTAGGCAGTGATGTGGTGGAGGCTGACTCCATACACAGTTTCAAGTGTAGATATGATAGAGCCCAGTAGGCTCAGTAATCTGTACACCAGTTGATCGACAGTTGAGAGGCGGGACCAAAGAGCCATAGCTCAACCCCTGCAAGCACAACTAGGTGAGTACACTAGTGTATTACAGAGGCCAGCGCCCACCTGCTGAAGGTTAACCTTGGCTAACACCTCAGCACATCTCCATTCACCTCAGCACATCACACATTATCAAGTTTCTTTACCGCTCAGCACATAATTCTCTTTAGAATTTATTCACAAATCTCAATCCTCACTAATCAACTAAATACATCATATAACTAAGCACATTATACAACTAAGTATTCAATATATCCTCCACATATTTCCATTCATATACGCAGTTCAGGGGGCATCTGGGTCCAAAAATGCATAAATGAAAACTCGTTTGATTTCAATCAAACTTTTTTGACAAGTTCTATATGAAAAGTGTTTCATCTGGTCCAAGTTTCAGCATCGTAGCATAAATAGGAAGGGAGAAAAAAAATATTGTATTGAAGTAGTTGTGAAAATTATGCCAAAATGGTCAAAATCGAGTATCAATCAAAAGTGTCAACTGAAATCATAGCTATGACTCTTTGCTATCACTATAGCATATATTAAACAAATATTATAATTAGTTTAATTGGAAAACAAATTTAAGAAAAAAAAAATATTTTTTTTCAATTTTGTTTTTTTTTTCATTTTTTTTCGGGCGATTTGTATCAAACTTACACACCTGACTGTACGTAAGCCTATCTGTAAGGATGCCAATTTTGGAGAAAATTGGTTGATGTCAACCTCAGCCACAGATTTTAGAACCTTAGACTATTCATTTCCGGTTTTTTTTTCAATTGACACAAACATTTACAAAACCGATTCATTTTTCATTCAATTTACATGAAACTTACACAGTATATGTGGAGGGCATGTCTCTACATTTGAGAGTTTATTTTTCTAAGTTCATTTATTGATTTTATAATAGCAATAACATGCCATATTTGCATAATTTTGGGGGGAACTTTGAACATTTGTATTAGGAAAACTAAAGATATTTTGGAAATTCTAAAACTCGCAATCCTTTATTATATGCTAATGTGTCAGAAAAGTGTCACAGAATAATTATATCTGAAACGTGTGTTCTGAAGTATAGACTTGAAAATGTGTAAAAAACGTTGAAAAAACAAAATCCCCCTTTCTATTTACGCTGCAGTACTGAAACTTGGGACAATTTCAGCACTTTTCATATACAACTAGTCAAATAATATTGGTTGACATTGAACAACTTTTCCAAGACTATCCAGATGGCCCCTTCACTATACATATCAGCAAATCTTCATTGACTTTGTGGATGACGCGTAACATCATACACATCAACACGCATCTATAAAACTCAGAACACCACTGCCTTTGCATATGACTACACCTTAGTACATCTTCAAACGTTGTCATATTATATGAGCTGTTGTCTGTTATTCGATGCATACTTTCGACTGCAATATTATGGGCCTAGCAGTTTAAGGGTTAATCGAGGTGTATGTACATAAATCACCAGATACTGTCTGACACCATTTGAAACATTTATTATAACATTTAAAATTATCCTCTTACTATGTCTTAAAATTCCAAAGTACTTAAACGAGCTCCTGTCTATCAAAGAAATTTCTAACATTGTTTCCAGAGGAAATACCACTAGAACTGGAGGTGTTGAAGTTGTTCGTTATTATGCTACTGAAGGTGGTGTTAATACTACCGTAGGTGGTGGTAACACTACTGGAGGTGGTGGTAATGCTACTGAAAGTGGTGGCAGATGGCCTGCCAGGAGCGAGCGCTGGGTTGTGTTTGGCGACTCTCACATGCGTTTCCTTCTGGCCTCTTTCCTCACTCGCTTCAGAAGCCCCACCCTCCAGTACCGACTTGAAGAAAAGGTGAGTAATATTCTTGAGAGGTTCAGCTACTGTCACAAGGTAAGTTGTATTATCAGGATGCGACATTCATGACAAACCCTTCTGGAGACGTGTTAGGGCCACTATGGGTCGCAACCGGGTTCTTTGCTAGAGGAACCAAAGTACAAGTATCCGACCCCAAGTCAGTAGTGGCTTTCAAGGAGTAGACATGGTAATGCAAGTAAAACACAAGGGGGGAGTTGAAAGGAATATGACACTTCATCAATTATCAAATATATTCACTTATTATCACTTTCCCATCACCATAAATAGAATCATAAACGAAGTATTACTACACTGATATATACACATGTGTCACTCTCATAGGACACTAAGCGCTCCTCGATGCTCATGCAATGCAGCCTTGTCAACTTCCGTGTTTCCTCAACACACAGTACCGTCCTCAACCAGTACTGTGAAACACCAACGAGTCTACCCTAGCCATGGGCCAGCCTATCTACAGTATCACTAGGTGCTCCTTGTGAACGCCCACCATCACTCTCCAACCTGGTGCTGGCAGAGAACATCAGCCTCGCACTGCTGGGCCTCTACACGAACAAATACAAGGGTAGCGAACCCCTGGCAGGAGCTTCTTGCAACTAGCTAGTTACACTCCTCCGTAGCACCTCACTGCCGGTCGTCTCTTCCTCTAGCCAGTCCCGGGATACGCCGAATTCTGTCACTGCCACTTCACAGGCAGACAGCAGATACTACTCAGTTCCTCTTCGGCGGCGGCTCACTGCTCACGTAATGCAGAATGAAGTAGAGAGATAATAGGCTGCCCTGGGTAGACTGCCTGTCTTCATACTACTGCAGCCCTACGTCGCCTCTGTGGATACAGACACGTCATCAGTAAACTGGCTGGTACTTGTGAAACTAGGACATGCCACTTACGGACTCTGACATTAACATACAACTCATATTACGATAGATGGCGCTAATTTCTAGGCCCCACCTCATCAGAGGTCAGCTACAGCGACTCTTCGGGCTGGCCAAGGCAGGAATCTAGAATCTCTTGCAGGTATCATACCGCCACCAACAGATGGCGTCGTCCATTTTGTGGGGGTTTTGGGAGTGGACTCACAGATGTCGTTGACGTCGCTGCTCCATGCTCCGACGATGGAGTCGGGTTCGTAACAAGAGGAGATAGATTTTCCTATGTCCACGACCAGTACACTAAGAAGATTCACTCGCTGGTCGCCACTGCGGATGGACGTGGTCAAGTGTTGCTCCCCATTTGACAACCCAAGCTTGGAGTCGGTGATTGGGTGTCAGTCCCTTGACCTGTATGGTATCCTGCTTGTGCAGGGTAAGTTTTTGCTTTACGATAGGGTCTTCCGTGCCTCCTATTCAGCGGACTTCTTCGGTTGGACTTGAGTTTTCCACTCTGGTTCACCATACAGTGGTTGGTAGTGCGCTGGTGGGGGTGTTCCGTGTGACGTTGACAGACCTGGTGGGAGTGCAGATCGTTCAAGATCGCCATGTGGTGGTGAAATTTGTTCGACCGGAAGTATTCTGGCAGTTCCTTGGCCAGTGTGAGGGTTACTCGTACCATTTGCCGGATGGTGCTGGTACGGAACGTGTGGTAAATTTGAACGTGACATTCACCTCCGTTTGAATTGACGGACGGGCTAATAACCAGGCTATTTAAGCAGTTTGGGAAGGTGTCAAGTGTGAGGTGGATTAAAGTTTCTGCTGGTTATTGTAAGGCGATGCTTGCTTGCACCAGGACACTAACGATGTCCTTGACGCGGGATATACCGTCTTCGTGTTCCCTGGTGGGATTTACGCTCTAATGTATGTATTCCGGTCAACCCTGTACCTGTTATCGGTGTGGTCTACAGGGTTTTCTGGCTGCGGCTTGCCCCATGAAGGCAATTGCTAGTGTCAATATTTTTCGGGGTGATTTTTCCTTCCTCCGAATCCAGGAGGATTCTGCGAAGGTGTTGGCAGGTGATGTCCCACCTTCCAGCCTGCAAGACATTATTCCTGTCTGTGTGAGTGTCCCAAAGGTTCGTGCGAAGCTGTTGGAGCGCCCTGTGCAACCAGGGGCTACCGACCGGGTGGTGTATGTGGATGCGACTCCGACTACAGGGCTTTGTGTGGTGTGCGTGGAGATTTACGGTGTACTACTGCCTGCTGTGGTGATGATACCGGCTTCCCAGGAGATGTCCCCATCTGCTTTGGAGAGCAGTTCTGGTGCACTTGCTCTGCCTGTTGGGGGGTATCTGGACGTGTGGTTTCCCCACTCGTCGCAGGAGGCGATTCCAATGGCCTCTCCGATGGAGGGTGTGTGTCCCCCCTTCGATGCTTACAGGACACATCGTGTCCAGTTGAGCTGGTCCCTTGGTCGGAACACTGGAAGGGCACTATCAGATCGCAGTCCATTGGTGGTCCATAGGTGGTACGGACACTTCAGAGCCTATGGAGGACGAGGTTGGGGTGGATGAGGCGGCGTTTGTGGAGGGGAGGGGCGAGGTGGGGTCCTTTGCTGGTTCCAGCCTGTGAGCGCTCCCCCCACCCCCCCCCCCCCCCGCCTTAAAGTGCCAGTTGACACAGGAGGGGGGTTGTTGACCCTGTTTACCGTGGTAGTACAGGACAGGATTTGCGTTTGGTGCTAAAAAGGGGGGAGGGGGGGGGTCTATTGCCCCTCCTCAAGGGGATTCCCCTGTCGGTGGACAACACCTTCGGGAAAGTCTGGTACCCTTAGCGGGTGATCCAGCCTTTGCGGACCTGCAGCTGGTGGGTGATTTTTTTTCTTTTTATTATTAAAACAGAGCAATTACAGCATACAGTAATCATATAAACAGGAAAGCAGAGTAACAAATAACACAGAATAACAACATCACAGATAACAAGGAACACAGATCACCATAACACAAAAGTGAAAACAAAGAATAACATAAAACTCATAAGAACACACACACAAAAACAAAAGCAGCACTACCCAGACGGGGCGTGCCAAAAGCGTCAGTAATTACAATAGCACACAAGGAGCACAATAAAACCAGAGGTAAAATATATACAAGGAATACACATACAAAATTACATAACACACCACAGAATCGAGAACACAATAACAGAACATGTATTTACAGTATTGTATTACCAACATAGTAAAGAAAATGCAGGAAATTAACAAGGGAATACAACAAAGCAATACACAGCACAGTACATAGAACAAAAGAAACAGAACACATTTGCATGACATAGTAAATTATCAAATAGTAGGAATCCTTCAGTCTCGGGAGACTATGGAGTTTCAATTATCAAATTATCAAATAAAAAATAAAGAATCGGTATAGCACAAACCAACATCGGAACATATAACACAGTAAATAGGGCACAGATAAGAGAACAAATCGTAAATAAGCATAAACAAAAATGGAATCTTACACATAGGTACCAATGAAAGAGTCAAAAAAGAAAAGAAAAAACACTAGATCATTATAACCCAGCAAGAACTAGGTAAGAAAACAGGGGAAAAAAAGGAACCCGTAACACATAGCTCAACAAACCAACGAAAGAAAGAAGCAACACAAAGCAAGAACCACACACACAGTCAATCTTCATATTTATCCGGATAGTAACGACGCGGGTACTTCTTCCGATAGGCATCCCACTGTGCCCACATTTCCATAGGCGCGTTAACGTGACTATGTGACCCTCGTGGTCGACGCATGAAGTCGGGAACCTCCAGCTCGGCTCCCTCCACCACGGGGGCGGTAGGCACGGGAAGAGGCCGCACAGAGGGCTTTGATACAGACGGTGGAACCACACGGGACTGAAGCACAGGAGTCGGCTGGACACAGGCCGGCAACTGAGCGGGCGGAGTCGCAGGGGGACGCAATCACAGAAGGCGATGGTGCAGGGGCCGACACCACAGGGGACGGAGTAACAAAGGACGACTGAGCAGAGGGCAAAGGCGTGGAAGGCACAGACATGGACGCCAGAGGCACGGAGGCCGCCGGAACAGAAGCAGTTGTAAGAACCGGCACCAAGCCCCTACCCTCTCTCGCAATCTCGGCCGGTGCCACAACCTCCCAACCCAGGGAACCAGCATCCGGTGATGCGGAGGCAGCCGGAGAAGACACCGGACCAGGGCCAGGCGACAATCCCACCACAGGACCCATCACTGCTGCAACACGGCCCACAGGAGCCGCAGGCACTCCAACAGCGTCGCACACATCACCATCCCCAAAAGACGAACTCCCGGAGTCCTCAAATTCCCCGACGTCGGCCCAGGCCGCATTACGAGGTGGAGACAGACTCAAAGCTCGTCGCGAACGCTTGGACACAGGTCGCAGATCGATGGAACTATCACCTCCGCTAGGAAGCGCCGTAGCAGAACCGCTGGTTGCCCGCGCAACTCCCCGCAGCGCACGATCACTCGACATTGCAGCCTCAACAACCCGGGGAACAGAACCACACACCGCAGGAGACATCACAGTGTGCACGTCGACACGGGTCGAAGACACAGCCGCCGGAGACAGTACAGGCCGAGGCTCAGCCTCGACGTCCGGAGTCACGAGACCACACACCACAGGAGACACAACTGGAGACTCGACTGGAGACGAGGCAGGCAGGGGAGGCTGAGGTGCGGGAGCCAGGGATGCACTTCCTTCCACTCCGACACCCACAGCCACATCGAGGCTGGCATCAGAGACCGGCAACTGGGCAACAGAGGACCGGGTAGTAACACTGTCCACAGCAGCACCTTCTGACAGGTCTGGGACCGCCAACGGGGGAAAGTCCGCCTCCCTGAAGAGGTTCACAGGCCCGACGGGCTGTGTTTATGAATGAAAAACGGTTTACACACGACTCAACTGATTTCGTTCGAACACTTCCGGAACAAGTGCTCCACTGACGAATTTTGTTCGAACCACAACGCTACAAATGCTTCACCCACGTATTACAAATACACAACCCGTTCTCGCAAATTCGTAAAGTCAATATTGACCTATTAACTACGTGCATAGGTGATATACTAAACATGATAGATACCCTTAAAAAGATTCATAGAAAACACCGACCTTACCTAACTTGTTAGTATCTTAAGATAAGCATCTTATTGCTTTGTAATTACAATTATTACTTAACCTATACCTATTATAGGTTAGGTAATAATTGTAATTACGAAGCAATAAGATGCTTATCTTAACATACTAAGTAGGTTAGGTAAGGTCGGTGTTTTCTATGAATCTTTTTAAGGGTATCTATTATGTTAAGTATGTCACCTATGCACATATTTAATAAGTCAATATTGACTTATTAAATTTGCGAGAACGGGTTGCAAATACAACAGCCCGTCCTCCAAACAAAGATCCAAAAGTGATTCCATCCACCCGCCAAACCCCCTGTTTATGAATGAAAAGTGGTTTACACACGACTCACAACTGCTGACGTTCGAACATATCCGGAACAAGTGTTTCACTGACGAATTTTGTTCGAATCACAACGCTATAAATGCTTCACCCACGTATTACAAATACAAATAATCGCCAACAGAACCTAAACACCTAACCTAACCTATCCTATGCCTATATATACACAATATGCTAATATATTATAATATTAATTTATACTTGAGAAAATTCCCATTTTGAGTGAACAGTATGTTAAAATTTATGAATGCGTCTGTGGGGTTGACCGCTGAATGTAATGGACTTGAGTCGAGGACGGGTTGAATACAAATAATCGCAAACAGAACCTAAACATCTAACCTAATCTAACCTATATATGCACAATATGCTAATATATTATAATATTAATTTATATTTGAGAAAATTCCCGTTTTGAATGAACAGCATGTTAAAATTTATGAATGCATCTGTGGAGTTGACCACTGGATGTAATGGACTTGTGTCAAGGACGGGTTGCACCCAGGTACTTCAAATACAAATAATCGCCAATAGAACCTAAACACCTAACCTAATCTTCGCCTAACTATACATAGTCATAGTATATAGCTATACTATATAAGATTATTATAATAATAAATATTTTATAATAATATTCAAATATTATTATAACACAACAAACTTATTTTTAATACACAATACATAAAAAATTATGAAAGCGTCGTAGGGGTTGGCTAAAACTGACTAAGCGATTCAACTCTCCACTAACTCCATACGTGCAGCAAGCCTTAAGTCTCCAAAGACTTAGGGGTACTTCCTTCCACTAAGGCTAACTCACCAGTGCAGAATGAGCACACAATACTTGCTGTCAAGAACAGCCTCACCTTGACTATGTATTCAGTTTCTCTGGTTCATGGCTTTTTCTAGGGACACACATATCCATGGCTGTCTTCCTCTGTGTCTTCGTAAACTCCAGTCATGACACCAGCCGAAACAACGTGCAGGCTTGCTTGTAATGGCAACTGTGAAGTTGTGAGAGCTTGATCGCTGTTAACACTATAAATACTTCGTCCCTTCTCGAATGGCTGTTGCTTGCCTCTTTACCAACTGCGGCAGATGAAATTCATGTAATGGATAGAACGATCAAAGAGCAGAGCCACTCCCAAAGATAGCTAAAGCGTAAGTGAGCTCCATCCAGTCACAGAAGCCGACCTGGGTGACACCACGCCAGTAACTTGCTGATAATGACATCATTCCTGGGAAGTGCGCCAGAAGAATGAAGACCAATGAAGAATGAAGAAACACTACCAACACCTATCATCTTCAACTACCATCAACTGCCAGCAATCGGGAAGACGTCTCCTTCCAGCCAGACTAAACACCTCTGTCCCTTTCTCTGTCCCTCTCTCTGTCCCCCCGTCTCCTCTCTGCCCCCTCTCTTTTCCTCTGTCCCCCCATCTCCTCTCTGTCCCCTCTCTTTTCCTCTGTCCCTCTATCTGTCCCCTGTCCCTCTCTCTGTCCCCCGTCCCTCTCTCTGTCCCCCGTCCCGCTCTCTTTTCCTCCGTCGCCCTCTCTGTCCCCCCGTCCCCCTCTCTTTCCCCCCGTCTCTTTCTCTGACCCCCGTCCCTCCCTCTGTCCCCCGTCACTCTCTCTGTGCCCTCTGTCCCCCCGTCCATCTTTCTGTCCCCTTTTCCCCCCCTCCTTGTCTCCCTGTCCCATCTCTGTCCCCCCGTCCCTCTCTGTGTTCATCCGTCCCTCTCTCTGTCCCCCTGTCCGTCTCTCTGTCCTCTTGTCTTTCTCTCTGTCCCTCTGTCTCTCTCTGACTCTCTGTCCCTCACTTTGTCCCCCCGTCTCCCTCTCTGTGCCCCTGTCCCCTTCTCTGTCCTCCTGTCCCTCTCTCTGTCCCCCTCTCTGACCCTGTCTTCCCCTCTGACCCTGTCTCCCTCGCTTTCACTGTCTCCCTCTCTGTCCCTGTCTCCCTCTCTGTCCCTGTCTTCCCCTCTGTCCCTGTCTCCCTCTCTGTCCCCTGTCCCTCTCTTTCCCCTTGACCCTTTATGTCCCCCCCTGTCTCCCTCTGTCCCTGTCCCTCTGTTCCCTTTCTCTCTCTCTCCTTCCTTTCGCATTCTCTCTGTCTCTCTCTCTCTCTCTCTCTCTCTCTCTCTCTCTCTCTCTCTCTCTCTCTCTCTCTCTCTCTTCTTTTTTTCCCTATTCTTCTAAATGCAATAAATATATTTATACCAAAATAATTGCAATAATTAATAATTAGAACTAACATTTTAAAAACCTTTGCTCCAAAATGTTATGTCATAACATTTAAAACACGTTCTATTAAAACGTGTTTTAATAGAACGTGTGTTTTCTGTGTGATCTATTAAAACACACAGAATAGTGTTAGCCTCTCATTGAAAGCTTGCATAACGCTTGTGTCGACCTGTGCTCAACATAGTGAAACCATACATATAATTCCGCATAGACATAATACCGCTTTGTAGGCAGACGTATTGCCCAGTGTATGGCTTCACATAGTTCATTGTAGTCGTGTATACAGCCTTCTACCGGCTTAATGTAGGCCTCCACATACATCATTACAGGCCTACATACATCCCAGTATAGGACTACACACGGGCTCAGTAAATGATTACACACATCCCAATATAGGACTACACACAGCTCCGTATAGGACTATACACATCCCAGTATAGGTCTACACACAGCCAGTATAAGCCAATATACAATGTTTCACAAACTAAAAATCGCTCTATACCCACAGGGCAAGTGGCTTAGTGCAGCTGCTCTAGAGGCAGAACTTCATACTTCCAAACTCTGGCAAAATATTGAAGTACGTGACCTTGGAGTTAACTTCCACCTAACCTACTACTGGGATACATTATTGAAGATCCTGCCGGAGAAGCTGACGGAGTGGGAGCAGCACCCTCACCGCTCCCCGACACTCGTCATCATCGGTCAGTAGTCAGCTTTACAACATTTATTTATTACTTAAATTATATTTTATTTACAAAGTAACTGCTAATGTTCAGTACATAAGTACTTATACCATCATTTATCCGGCAGAGTTCATTTGACGCATCCATTGCAAGTGTCTACCTACCAAGGGAACAGGCACTTCGCAACCGGTTGACACTTACATATTGCTTTGTGGATATTAGTGTTACCTGTTCTTGCAGTCAATTGTTACAGTATAATGCACTGGATCTTAACTCAAGTACAGATTTATTCACTCATTAAGAAAGTTTATCTGTCTAACAAGAAGTCAGATAGTAATTAATAGAATAAAATTAAGTCATTAAATTAATATTAGATTTCAGACACAAAAATAGACAATTCAGACACAAAAATGTCTGAATTGCGCTGGATGAGTGCATGTACTGCATGCAGTGTATGCATTATGCATGTACTCCAAACAATTCATGATGAATGCATGTACTCCAAATAATACATGATGAATGCATGCACGTTATTCAATTCATGATGAATGCATGCACGTTATTCAATTCATGATGAATGCATGCACGTTATTCAATTCATGATGAATGCATGCACGTCATTCAATTCATGATGAATGCATGCACGTTATTCAATTCATGATGAATGCATGTATTGCATATAATACATGATGAATGCTTGTACTGCATACAATAAATGATGAATGCATGTACTCCAGACAATACATGATGAATACATGTACTCCAAACAACATATGATGAATGCATGTGCTGCATACAATACACGATGAATGATCGAGTCATAACATGGAGGTTCCCTACAGCTGCGGCACTGCACTGGATGGAAGCAACTCAAGATGTGTACCAGAGCCAGGGACCCGAGGCAGCCGTCGCCTTGTATAGGACGCACATCAGTAGCTTCAAGGACCAACTCACCGGCCTCGCAGCCAACACTACTGTCGTCTTTAAGCTCCTCGACGACCTTAGGGTAATATGAGTATCTTTCTGTTCCTTGATTCCTAAAACAGTGTATTTTATTGTTATTTGATGTCCTACAGATACTGTTTCCAAGTGATACACTACTCTCAGGGAGCCGAGTATTTATTATGGACCTCGATACCCAGAGAGTAGTGCAACTACTACGGCTCTCGATATCCTGAGAGTAGTGAAACAATTACGGTTCTTGATACCCTAAATAGTAGTAAATCTACTACGGTTCTCGATACCCTGAGAGTATTGGGCAGCTACGTTCTCAATACCCTGAGAGTATTGGGTCTGCTATGGTTCTCGATACCATGAGAGTATTGGGTCTGCTATTGTTCTCGATACCATGAGAGTATTGGGTTTGCTATGGTTCTCGATACCATGAGAGTATTGGGTCTGCTACAGTTGGTGACTTGGCTTCTGGCTTTTTGGTAACTTTGGAGTTCCGTGTAGTGATGTTGGTAGTTCTGGGCAGTGTCGGATTATCCATTAGTCACAGTGCCTTGGGCTTACAAGGTTGTGGCTTATAAAAAAATTAAACGAAAAATTTTCCCCTTTTTCTACGGGATATTAAATTGATAACTTAATCCTATTAGGATTTATTTATGTTGATTACTTTCAACATTATTTTATTTAGGTATATCTTTCATATATGACCCCATATCTTAGAGATGCCTAAAGCCTAAGAAATTCTTAAACCGACAATTCATCCCACCAAGCTGTTTGTATGTTACCTGATGTAATTACTTTTCCTTCCGTGCGCCTTAAATTCTGGAGTTACTACAGTGGTAGTGTCACTGTTGCATTGTTATTGCTGCTACTACTGTTATTTTTTTTTTTAAATAAAGCTGTTTTATAAGCAAAGAGTATTTCATATTGCATTCTGGTAAATTTTTGTATATATTATATTTTGCTAATTTTCAAAAATAACTTTAAAACCAGAATTCATTACAACGTGCATGAATGAAATATTAGTGATAAAGAAAAGAGAATTTACCCTCAGAGAGCCAGCGAACCAAATGCATGGAAAGCCATCAACACCCGGAGTAACTACCCGTTGTACAACAAGGCGGCGGTGGCGGCACTGTCAGGGACAGGTGTGATCATCTGGGACAGCACCGTGCCACTCTCCCGGGCCTACACCCTCCGCTGTGAGGCACAACTCCTGCACACTCCCCCGTGGCACTACTGGAACTGCCAGGACCCTTGCCATGTAGGGTACATCCTCGTCGACCAATATGCTGATATGATCATCAATAATTACTGTAACAAATACCTGAGTCTCGGCCAAGACTTTTGTGTCTAACTTTTATGTTTCACCTTCTGCTGCCATGTTGTGTCATCAAATATTAAGTAAGTTTATATTCACATTTATTTTCCTTTCGTGCATCCTAGAATTGTGACATATACACTAAATATGGTAAAAAGCTATTTGTTCAATTTATATAGCTTTATATTTATATTTCTGTATAGATAAATATTCCTTTGACAATATTCATCAAAGAATTTTTTTTTTTACAACGATGTAAATTATTAAAACAACCACTTAACCTTACAACATGAATTTTATTTATACTTATTCATATTCACATGAGAAATGGTTAAAAACATCATTTCTTCAAGGTTTAGTTTGCATTTAATACTTCACAATGACTCGCAAGAAGGAGGAAAGTATCAAGAAAGACATAACCGAGAGAAACGTGACCCTTTCTAACACAAAACAGAAGACAGTTCGCTATAAGAGTAGGAACACCGCTCACGTGGCCCAAAAAATGAGGTGATTTGATAAAATATTTCTCCCAAGATTGTCTCCAGAATGCCGTCGGGATGATGGGCAAATTGCCTCGGCTACCATCATCTTTTGTACAGTCGTGATGGTCGAGTGGTTAAGGTTTTCTGTACACCAGTTGCATAGTGTTCCTGGCAGTATAGGTTCCAGTCACTTCTGGGGTGTGGAGTTTTCAGTTATATATATATATATATATATATATATATATATATATATATATATATATATATATATATATAATATATATATTATTATATATATATATATATATATATATATATATATATATATATATATATATATATGCGAACAAGCCTGAATGGTCCCCAGGACATATGCAACTGAAAACTCACACCCCAGAAGTGACTCGAACCCATACTCCCAGAAGCAACGCATCTGGTATGTACAAGACGCCTTAATCCACTTGACCATCACGACCGGACATAATGAGGTGATAGCCGAGGCTATATGAACCACCCCACCGCCGGCACTCGGATAGTTATCTTGGGCATAGCATTTTACCAAATCACCTCATTCTTTGGGGCACACGTGAGGAACACAAATGCGAACAAGCCTGAATGGTCCCCAGGACATATGCAACTGAAAACTCACACCCCAGAAGTGACTCGAACCCATACTCCCAGAAGCAACGCATCTGGTATGTACAAGACGCCTTAATCCACTTGACCATCACGACCGGACATAATGAGGTGATAGCCGAGGCTATATGAACCACCCCACCGCCGGCACTCGGATAGTTATCTTGGGCATAGCATTTTACCAAATCACCTCATTCTTTGGGGCACACGTGAGGAACACAAATGCGAACAAGCCTGAATGGTCCCCAGGACATATGCAACTGAAAACTCACACCCCAGAAGTGACTCGAACCCATACTCCCAGAAGCAACGCATCTGGTATGTACAAGACGCCTTAATCCACTTGACCATCACGACCGGACATAATGAGGTGATAGCCGAGGCTATATGAACCACCCCACCGCCGGCACTCGGATAGTTATCTTGGGCATAGCATTTTACCAAATCACCTCATTCTTTGGGGCACACGTGAGGAACACAAATGCGAACAAGCCTGAATGGTCCCCAGGACATATGCAACTGAAAACTCACACCCCAGAAGTGACTCGAACCCATACTCCCAGAAGCAACGCATCTGGTATGTACAAGACGCCTTAATCCACTTGACCATCACGACCGGACATAATGAGGTGATAGCCGAGGCTATATGAACCACCCCACCGCCGGCACTCGGATAGTTATCTTGGGCATAGCATTTTTAGGCGGTGGGGTGGTTCATATAGCCTCGGCTATCACCTCATTATGTCCGGTCGTGATGGTCAAGTGGATTAAGGCGTCTTGTACATACCAGATGCGTTGCTTCTGGGAGTATGGGTTCGAGTCACTTCTGGGGTGTGAGTTTTCAGTTGCATATGTCCTGGGGACCATTCAGGCTTGTTCGCATTTGTGTTCCTCACGTGTGCCCCAAAGAATGAGGTGATTTGGTAAAATGCTATGCCCAAGATAACTATCCGAGTGCCGGCGGTGGGGTGGTTCATATAGCCTCGGCTATCACCTCATTATGTCCGGTCGTGATGGTCAAGTGGATTAAGGCGTCTTGTACATACCAGATGCGTTGCTTCTGGGAGTATGGGTTCGAGTCACTTCTGGGGTGTGAGTTTTCAGTTATATATATATATATATATATATATATATATATATATATATATATATATATATATATATATGTTTCATTGAATATGACCGCATATTCTGTATTTATTATTTTCTGGTTTAGGGTTTCTATCCCTCTAACTATTTTCTTAGCATCAGGGCTTAATTGGAATAGGAGTTCTCCAAAACTCATTTTCGTACTTTTAAGGTGAAGAAAAGAAGTGATTTAACCTTCACCTTAAAAGTACGAAAATGAGTTTTGGAGAACTCCTATTCCAATTAAGCCCTGATGCTAAGAAAATAGTTAGAGGGATAGAAGCCCTAAACCAGAAAATAATAAATACAGAATATGCGGTCATATTCAATGAAACATGTTTGAAAGAAAACCTGCTGCCAGTATACACCAATATATATATATATATATATATATATATATATATATATATATATATATATATATATATATATATATATATATATATATATATATATATTATTATTAAATATGACCGAAAAAGTAAGATTAATAATACTAACACGAATTTTCTCGATCTTTCGTACGTTTCTTTTCACTGTTGGTGGTAATTCAAAAATCAATTCTCCAAAATTCATTTTTATTTCTAGTCTGACGTGACACTTGAGCGCGTTTCGTAAAACTTATTACATTTTCAAAGACTTTAGCTTACACATACACAACTGATTAGAACTTACACATCTTTGATTTGTTTATATCTACATTTGAGTGAGGTGGATGGGGTGAGGTGGTATTAATAGGGTATTAAATTCCTAAACACAAGACAGAACACGAAACAATGAGTATTGAATGGAAGTGATTTGTAGAAAGCCTATTGGTCCATATTTCTTGATGCTTCTATACTGGAGCGGAGTCTTGAGGTGGGTAGAATATAGTTGTGCATTAATTGGCTGTTGATTGCTGGTGTTGACTTCTTGATGTGTAGAGCCTCGCAGACATCAAGCCGCCTGCTATCGCTGTATCTATCGATGATTTCTGTGTTGTTTACTAGGATTTCTCTGGCGATGGTTTGGTTGTGGGAAGAGATTATATGTTCCTTAATGGAGCCCTGTTGCTTATGCATCGTTAAACGCCTAGAAAGAGATGTTGTTGTCTTGCCTATATACTGTTTTTTTTGGAGCTTACAGTCCCCAAGAGGGCATTTGAAGGCATAGACGACGTTGGTCTCTTTTAAAGCGTTCTGCTTTGTGTCTGGAGAGTTTCTTATCAGTAGGCTGGCCGTTTTTCTGGTTTTATAGTAAATCGTCAATTGTATCCTCTGATTTTTGTCTGTAGGGATAACGTTTCTATTAACAATATCTTTCAGGACCCTTTCCTCCGTTTTATGAGCTGTGGAAAAGAAGTTCCTGTAAAATAGTCTAATAGGGGGTATAAGTGTTGTGTTGGTTGTCTCTTCAGAGGTTGCATGGCGTTTCACTTTCCTTCTTATGATGTCTTCGACGAAACCATTGGAGAAGCCGTTGTTGACTAGGACCTGCCTTACCCTACAGAGTTCTTCGTCGACTTGCTTTTATTCTGAGCTGTGGCTGAGAGCACGGTCGACATAAGCGTTAACAACACTCCTCTTGTACCTGTCTGGGCAGTCGCTGTTGGCATTTAGGCACATTCCTATGTTCGTTTCCTTAGTGTAGACTGCAGTGTGGAAACCTCCGCTCTTTTCCATGACTGTTACATCTAGAAAGGGCAGCTTCCCATCCTTTTCCATCTCGTAAGTGAAACGCAGCACAGAACTCTGCTCAAATGCCTCCTTCAGCTCCTGCAGATGTCTGACATCAGGTACCTGTGTAAAAATGTCGTCAACATACCTGCAGTATATGGCCGGTTTCAAGTTCATTTCGACTAAGACTTTTTGCTCGATGGTACCCATGTAGAAGTTTGCAAACAGGACACCTAGGGGGGACCCCATGGCGACCCCATCTACTTGTTTATACATGTACCCATCCGGGCTCAAGAAGGGTGCCTCTTTAGTACAAGCTTGGAGTAGTTTCCTCAGAATGTTTTCTGGTATGTAAGAGGAGTGCAGGCCGGATCACAATACACTCTGTCGGCTATCATCCCGATTGTCTCGTCCACAGGTACGTTGGTAAACAGGGATTCTACGTCCAACGAGGCTCTTATTTCTGTGGCCCGTGTGCCCCGCAGTAAGTCAACAAATTCCTTTGGAGACTTCAGGCTGAAGGCGCAAGGGACATAAGGAGTCAGCAGGCTGTTGAGTCGCTTCGCCAGTCTGTACGTGGGTGTGGGTATCTGGCTAATGATTGGCTGAAGTGGGTTTCCAGGCTTGTGTGTCTTGACATTTCCATACGCATATCCAGGTTTATATTTCCCAATAACCTTTGGCAGGTGGAGTCCGGATTTCTTGGCATTCACAGTTTCGATCAGTTTGTTGACCTTTGCTTTCAATTCGGCTGTAGTGTCCTTCGTTACCCTTTGGAATTTAGTTTGGTCAGAGAGTATGAGGTTCATTTTCGCCAGATATTCGTCTTTTTTAAGAATGACGTATATTGGCAACTTGTCATCTCTCCTGACAACTATCTCCTTGTTCTCACGAAGGCTCTTAGCTGCCGCTTTGAGCTCGGGGGACAGTATGGTGCTTCTGTAGTTGCTTCGATTCTTTCCTCCTTCTGCAATAAGTTCTGCTTGTAAGGTATCTTTGGTAATGACCTTCTTTTGTGTCTCGAGGTCGAATATGTCGTCCAACAGAATTTCCAACTCCACTTTCCGGGCCATCTCACTCGGTCTGGACATAACGTGACAGTTTATACCCAGATTTAGGAGAGTAACTTGGTCCT